ATTGACACAATACTTTGGTTTAACCGGATGCTCCATCCCAATCGACCTACCACTTGCTCCTTTGCATGTTGTGTATGTGCATGTATATGTTTGTTTGCATGATCGATATCATCTACTTGAATTGTATTCCTTCGGGTCACTGCCTTACCCGCATACCTCTTTTCGGGCCCCTGCCGCTACGGCATGCCTACCTCTGGGTCACTGTCTTACTGGTATACCCTCTTTTCGGGCCTCTGCCACTATGGCATGCCTCCCTTTGGGTGGCATGCCTACCTTTGGGTCACTGCCTTACCGGTACACCCTCTTTCGACATACCCTCTTTTCGGGCCACTGCTGTCACGACATACCCACCTTCGGGTCACTGCCTTACTGGTATACCCTCTTTTCGGGCCCCTGCCACTACGACATCCCTACTTCTGGGTCACTGCCTTACCGATATACCCTCTATTCGGGCCACTGCCACCACGGCATGCATATGTTCTGATTTTCCTGCATTAGCATTTGCATGTTTGCATGGATAGCGAGTCAGGTTCTTTAGGAGAGTGACCCTGTGTTGGTCGCGATGCCTTAACGAGCATTATTTGTTGGGTTGATCCCAGTGAGCAATGTGAGTTTAGTCATTGGGATTGACATGAGTATGACTGTGCTAAATATCTAATAGATCTAACTCGTGTCATCATTCTTCGTGACACCATTTAGTTCCTTCGGATCTTTAGGATGGGGTCGTTAAAGTAACCCCGTCAAAGTCATATTATACCCAAACTTACACAACTAGACTTACCCCCCACTTAGATACTAGGTTGATGCTCTTTTCGTTAGATGGTGTGCTAGGCTAGGACTTAGGGTGCTAAATAATTTCGATGTCTGGTTATTGTTCTCTGTTGGATTGGTTGCCCTAGCCAGGTATCTTTCTTTTGCATTGTGCTTGTAGTGTGTTGTGTGGTAGTGTGTTAGGGCGTTCTTTTGCAGGGAGCCATGCCTATTTTCATACACACACATAGGAACCGCTATGGGGGAGCAAATAATGATTTCTGACACCTTTGCTTGCAGGTGCTATTAGCTCCCCCACTTTTAAGGCATTGCTCATGATATGTTATGTGCATGTGAATTTTCCTGCTG